AGTATAAATGGGTTTTAGAGGGTCAAATAGAAACCCCTCATTTCATTTTAATCCGATTTCATTATGATCTGCGACAAGAAATAATCGACCTTGATTGGTCGATAGGGTGGTGACATTTAGCACTATTTTAAATAGGTGTAAAGTTCGATTTGATACTTTTGAACCCATTTTTTGCCATGGAAAATTATTAAACTTAAACCGAAAAAAATCAAGCGTCTAAAACAAATAACGATATTAAAAAGGTGATAAAACATAAAAATAAGTAGTGAAAAATCTATGAAAGGTAAGAACTCATTTTAAGATTATAGAAATGGCATACTAATTCTAGCTCAGTCTTCCGTTTTGATCTTTTTAATCCTTTTAAATCTCGTCTGGCTTTAATTTTTATGAAGGTTTCGTCAGATTTCGCCCTTCTTTACTTCCAATTTTAAATTTCGTCTTTCATAAGAGGGATTTGGAGTTTTGTCAGGGTTTCTTCTTTCGTCATTACACAAGAAAGGTTTCGTCTAACAACTGTATTTCAGAGAAAGTTCTTCAATATTATGAAGGCTTGAAAAATAATGACCGTTATTATTTAGCTAAAGCCATAACATTAGGTTTGGTGAAATAGTTCACGCTCTTAAACAGTCCTTCTTTATTGGACAGTTGAATTATTCATAGAATTTATTTCATATTAGTTGAATCGTCGCGTAAGGATCATAAATACCAAGCGCAACAGTTACTTTCCATCATTCTCGATGTGCAGCATTCTTCGGGCAATCGTGCATCGACATTCAGAATTGGCCTTTCCGGTCCGCCCGGTGTAGGAAAATCTACATTCATCGAACGCTTTGGAATGCATATTCTTTCTCAAGGTCATCGTGTAGCTGTTCTCGTAAGGAATTTTTTATTATATTATTTTATTCCTGTTGATTTAATTTAAATATTGGTTCTACTTTTTCTTTTGCTAGGCCATAGATCCATCTTCATCTCGGACAGGTGGGTCAATTTTGGGTGATAAAACCCGTATGCTTGAATTGTCACGGCAAGAAAACGCGTATATTCGGCCGTCTGCAAGTCACGGTACACTCGGTGTGTTGATATTTAAAAATTATATTGCGAATTATATCTTTAATTAGTATTTTTCATCCGACCATTAATTTTCTTTACAGGTGGTGTAAGTCATTAAAGATATTAACGTGTGTTAGTAATATTGTTAACTCTTTATGTGCACCTTGGTGGGACAATAATTATGCTTAGAGTGTCTTAGATAGTGTAAAATGTTTAATATCCTTATAGGCTAGGACTAAGACAAAGGCTGCACTTAGAGAGATCAAACATAGAACCTGCACTTAGAGTGTGTTGATTGTAATTTGTAGTTGATGTTTTGCATATCGGCTCGAATATAGGTAGCTAGGAACACTAACGAAGCTATGATTATATGTGAAGGTGAGTATATTGTATTCACAACGTCATAATCATATTGTAATTTTCTAAATTGAATTATGTATATTTCATAGCCGCTGGGTTCGATGTGTGTCTTATTGAAACAGTAGGAGTTGGTCAATCGGAAACTATGGTAGCAGATATGGTTGACATGTAAGATTATCTCGTCCAAATATATTAAAGGCATCAAAAATGCTAATGAATGTTCATCACAAAAAAGAGTTTGAAAATTTAAATGATTTTCTAAATAT